GAGTCTTACATTCAAAAATGGTACCTTTATATTACCGGAACATTTTCCATGCCTGATCAACATTTTTTCCTACTCTAGAATTGTTAGTTGACATACTAATTCTACATGAAACTGTACTACATATAGATTGCATATGTAGGATGTATTTTCTTGCTGATGTTTACATCTGAACTACCTCTCGCTATGTTTATGACATCCTTGCATTTACTACCTGAGAATTACAGCTCCGTACACTCATATGTCCCTATACAACCTGTCACACACAATTATGTTCATTCTTCAAGTGCTCATTTGACACCCGGTACTTAAGGCCATAGCCTGCTCCCATATAGCATATTTCAAAAGACAACATCTGTATACCCTATCTGCTGCTTGTTCTTTCTCACTCGCCACCTACTGCTCTCAATAGTTTTCCGGGGGGCTGCTAGCACCCCCTCCCCTTCCCCTCCCCCCTCTCTTTATTTCATATATGGTTCTCTTTCTTCCTTCTTCCTGGTTCCTCTCTACTCCTTCTCACCTAGCTTTTTTCTTCCCCACAATTCATCCTTACGGATATTTACTAAACACCACATATATAGAGGATACCAGCCAGCATGTCATTGCACCTTTGAGCTGCAGAAACAATATTCACACCCTGTCATAATACACTATCGCTATATTTTAGCCACTTCTTGTCCTAGCTACACAACCACCTAGCGCTCATCACAGTTTTGCAACATCTCTAAGGTTCTTTATACCATTTCATGGGCTATCTATCTATCAACCAATATGAACCTCTCTCGTCATGTTCCCCACAAATTGTCAATGACTGCTATCTTTCTGATGCAGTGATATGTTTTCCCACGTCGATTTGTTTGATCTTTATTATTATGTAAAATAATAAAATCCAATAAATATTTCTTTAAAAAAAAAAGCTTAATTGAACAAGCTGAAGTTAGAAGGTGATTGGCTACCATACACAGATACACCAGATTTTGAGTGAACCGTTTTAGTAAATCTACCCAAGTGTGTGATGTCAGGCAACTGACAGGGCAATACTTATAACATTCAGGTGACCTATGGCTCTTGACTCAATCTAAAGCATCAGGCTAAGTCAAAGTAAACTTAAAGCTTAACTATAAGTTTTAATTAACATTAAATAGCTTGTTTGGACCACGCTCGTCCAACTGAACTATTTGCTTCACTAACACCTGCGCTCCCTGTCAGCAATGTTTAAACTGTGTATAGCATACATGTAATTAGAACGAAATCTTGCGCGCTTCTATGGATAAAAACTAGTGAACGTGAAAACATATATTATTGATCGTGTTGCAGCTGCTATAACATATATCCCTCTCTCATATTAGCGTCGGACGGCCCAATTAGATCCCCTTGAAAAAGTCACGTGTCGAGTGATGAAGAGCGTCGGGGAGGAGCTTTTGGATGACATCACGATGCAACACGGAGCCGACGATCATTACAGCAGTAGTACACATCCTTTCATATGGATCCAGATTGGAAGACACTCTGATAATCTAGCTGATGGCCCTTATCTCAGTTGTGTTACACGATTTGTATCTGAAATGATGATGTAGATGGAGGGTACACCGCTGACTTCAAATTGTGTAGTATCATTAGAGGTTTTCCATACTTGGTGCGGTTAGGCACCTCTTACATGTGAGTGTGCATTTGGATATGTGTAGTGAAAATAAAAGCTTTTACGTTTTGTTCATGTGAAGCTTTGTTTTCATTTATGAGGTAAATTGATGGTGAGAGATGTTTTCTGAGTGAGATGTTAACAGCTATTATCCATCAAGTTGATCCTCAGTGTCCACTATGGGACCAAAAGTGCAGTTAGACCAAACATAATAGTATGTGAGGTCACACTGCTGGAGGTGAGCAGATATCAGGTGGAGGAATTGTGCACATTTGTGATTGGAGCGCTTAGTGATCACAGGAGGAAGGGAACACCATATATAGAAGATAATTGTTTGGACTTTTATATTATTTATTATTATTATATGGTTTATTTTTTTATTCAATGATCATTTTGTCTTTGCACATTTCATGATTTGTAGCGCTGCATTGTTTACACTATTTGGTACAAATATTGTAGCTACATACACTATTCCAGCAGCGGAACGGAGCATTCCCATCCTGTTCCTGAAACAAAAATGAGTCAAGCTGAGTGCTGCACTGCCATTCAAAGGATGCCTTGTATTTTATTAATAAATACAATGCTTTCTCTAAATACAGTTCATACAGCGCTTACAGGCCGTGCAGGTGTTAGTGAAGCAACTAATTTGTTTGGACCAATTTGGTACAAACTATTTAAAGGTAATTAAAACCCAGAGTTAACATGGTTGATCTATGTATGGGCAAGGTGGTTGAACAGAAGTCAATCTACCAATCGACTTCTGTACAACTGCCCTGTCAGATATTTGCTGCATGATCAGCACTGTTGGCTATATCTGGCAGCTCTGATCAGTATAATCCGACAGCTGAGAAGTCTCGCCACTGTCAGAATACAATAGCTCAGCTTGAAGGAATAGATGTGGATGGTGGAATTAATTTTTTTTCATAATAGAATCCTGCCTTCTGCGTGCATCTTCATTAAAGCCTAATTGTTTATATTCTTGCATAGTTCTGGAAATGGCTGGTGTACTTTTTTTGATGATTAAAAAACAATGCTCTCCAGGTCAGTTATATACACCACAAGGATTTTAGCAGTCTTATGCCCCATTTTTTTGACACTTAGGGGTTGATTTACTAAGATCAAATAGGCTGTTTATTTTGCATGTGCAGTTGCACTTTGAAAGGAAATTTTCCCCAGAGTATAGTAAATGTGATTCAACTCTGCTGACTACCATCATCCAATTGTGTGCAAACAAAAATGTTGTTTTTTATTTCTTTGTATTTGTTTAGTTATTTTTGCACAGTGAAATGTCACCACATTCAATCAGCTCTGGAGAGAATTCCTTAGCAAAGTGCAATATCTCCTACAAAGTGAACAGCCTATTTGACTTTAGTAAATTAACCAGATAGATTCTAAATTCTTCCTGCTTCCTGAGTGCGAGGGCCTCTCATAATCACTTGATCAGTCATCATGTTTAATAAGAAACATACTGCTGGGAAAAAAAAACAGAAAAAAAGGAGTGGGTTGGCGTGGCTGCCAGGTAACTGGCATTTTTAGAAGAGAGGACAGCAGTGTCAGCCTTCATATTACTCTCAGCACAAAATTCTTGGAAATAAGTAAAATCTTAAAAGCATCTCCCATATATAGATTTAAAAATTCCTAATCTACATCTGTTCTGTGTTTGTCCATTTCTAATTACATTCAAAGTTAGCCTTAAACTGTCCAATATTTTGCCAAGGTTACATTTTGGGCTGCCAGTTACGCAAGTGGATGTACTATTTTTTATAATTTTCTATTTATAGAATTATGAGTCCAATAACATCACGCCTGGAAATTCTGTAGAGTTAATAACTGTAAAATATACCAGTCTACATCCTTCAGCTGTTCTTTCTAAGCATGTTGGATGTGTAAAACCGGTGGAAGTCAGGACACAGGAGACAGGTATGCTGCATCCAATCTTTGCACTCAACATCTGACAGATTACCAGGACTCCATACATGCTCCTAGCCAACAATTACAAACATCAAGATGGTACATATTACCTGTCATGGTAGTGACTGATGCTCACCGCATCATGTTACTGGCTGGACTGCCAATTTTGATCTGTATAGGGCTAGTCAAATATATAAGGCTATTTGCCACCCCATAAAATGAAGAACCATGCTGGACTGAAGTGAACCTTTCAGGTAACACCTGTCGAAACCAAAAGCAGGTGTGCAATCCTAATTTATCTAGGACAACCCTTGAAAAAATATTTTGACTTACGAAAATGACTGGACTTGGCTCAGATTCCTATATATATTTCCTTAGTAATACCGAAGGATTTAGGCCACAAATATTACAAACACCTTGCTGAAAGAGTAGAGCCTGACATATGGGAAAGACTGTGGACTCCATGCTAAAGAGGGCTCACCACTAAGGGAGTTGTCTTTCTCACCAACAAATATATTCAGTCATATAACAAGAATCTCATTTGCTGAAAATCCATCATATAAAAGGTCTCATTTGCTGAAAATTACTTGCAGGCCCATGTATTCCTCAATAAGGTTGTGACCTCCATAATATTACAGTTAAGACAAAAAATGTTTCCCATCCTTCATGCTAGGAAGATACATGAAAAAAAAGCTTTAATGTATTCTCTTTCACAACTGGTTTCTAGCAGCAATGTAAATGTTGTCCTGGAAGAAATGCATTCATTCACTCAGAGCCTATACATGCTTCTTGCATGCTAGCTAAAAATCACATAAAACTTCTCAGAGGGAAACTTTGGCAGACTTCAACAGGGAAGTTTAGCTGCAGAACAAGGGCAAACTTTTTTTTTTTTTTTCTCTTTAGCGGAGAGAGAAAAAATTGGCCTATCTCACAGGCAGTGTCAGAATATGGAAATGTTTACAAAATGCTCATTAGGAAAAGAGGGATTCTGAGATAGCAGCAAAATCTGGTGAGACGCTTCTAGTGTGGGAGATAAGAGAAGCAGGGATGCTGTAGGGACATGTTATCAAATTAGTGAAACCTGGCTTTTTGAAAAGAGAAAAGAGAGGGAGGGAGAGAGAGAAAAAGAGCAAGGAGAGTGTATGTGTGAGAGAGAATGGTCACAAGTTACAGACGAGTGTTTTCCATACTTGTCAACTCCAGATGACAAAAGCAGTGTCCTCTCGAGAGAGTAAAACAGACACACCGGACACCACTGGCAGCTGAGATTAATCTTGAGCAGCAGCAATCTCTGAGCATGGATCCCATCTCTGTGCGGGCATTTGTGGCCCTGAGCTTACTGGTGCAATGCGTGACAACTAGTCCTATCATGGGCTTGGACGATGACTTGCCTTTATATGATGAAGTTCTTTCTGAGCAGGATGGGGTCGATCTCAACTCTCTGCTGGAAACTATGAAAGATGACTTCTTGAAGACCCTCAACCTCTCCGGGATTCCAGTGCAGGCACCTGTCAAGGTGGAGCCACCAGAGTACATGCTGGAGCTCTACAACAAATTTGCAATGGACAGAACCACCATGCCTTCAGCCAACATTGTGCGGAGTTTCAAAAATGAAGGTAAGATGTTGGGGATAAGTTTTTGTGGGTTTATTTTTTTTCTTGCCTTACATGCTTGCCAGCAGAAATGCATTGTAAACCTCTACGCGGTGCAGGATAGCTGGTTTGGTGCATAATTTGCATCGGTAGATAATATTTTATGGTCAAGATTCTGAACAATATTTCAAATCTTCACTCTTCTGTCTCAAGAAGGCAGACAGTTCATTTTGTACATTAAGGTATAGAAGGTTTCCGCCTAACTTATTTCTAATTCTAGAAGGCAGGACTGCCATGCACGCCCACCAGGAGTTTCTTGAGAGGTTGCATTTGGAAATGTGTGGGCTAGCTAGGCAGATCAGGTTACTTACCCCAACAGCATGACATCAGATGTTTTTCTGTTTACATTTACACGAAACCTGACAGTTTAACAAATTTGAACAATCTAGTTCTATTGTAATTGTTCTATTTTATTTTAAATTTCATATTATGGTGAGAATACATTTGTCATTCTGTTGAAAGCCATTATTCTTATTATCTTTATTCAGTGCCAACATGATGTTCTGAGTATAGATATGTACAGTTTTTCTAATACTACATGGCATTACTGGATGCAGAAATAATTAGATCTCTAATAATCAGTATGGCACAGATAATAAGGAATATATTTACAGATGCATTGACAGAAAGAGCTAGTTATATATAACCCTAAGGTAAGAGTGTTGGTAATGCACTTGGTAGTCAAGCATGAAGCCTTCATACAACATTTATATATGTCTGATTGCATTATTAAAGTGCACCAATGAAGCATAAGAACAAATTTTATATATTTTACATCCAACTGGAAAAGCCAATTAATATATTTATCTTTAGAACAAATCATGCTACAGCTGGCATGATTACACTTCTTTTCTGAGTAGACCCATCACATCTTTGAGCAGCAATTCATGCTAAAACATACTCTGAAAACTGCACAACAAGAGTTAAACTTAGTTGGCTTGTGTATGTAAGATCCTGTCTGTGTCTCCCGCTCAGCTTGAATAGAGACACGAAAGAAGAATATCTGCAACCTTCCAACCATTTCACAATTTATTTGCTCACAAAAACGAAACCTTTAAACTATCAGAGACTTTATACAATAGTTCCAGCTGCTTCTCATCTCCAATATCAAGTCATCTCTCTCCAGACTCACATAAAATTCATTCTGTTGTGGGAAAGGCCTCACCTAAAGTTCTTGCAGGAGGTTACAGGATAGTGGGGTAATTGTAACACAAAGTCACGTTCAAAGTTTCTCCTGAAAGGTCACTTGCTAAGTGATCACCATCGCTGATCTAAAATTATGTTGAACCACTGCAAAAGGGAGAAAACATTTAAGATGCTGAATTTACGATACCATATAGGAAGCCTTTGTTATACATAGATATACTGTACACACATTATACTTCCACTCAGTAAACACATCAAAGAAACTAAGAACATCCATTTACAGGTTGAACAAGTGAGCAAGAGTTCACTAGTTCTCACAAACATTATTATATATACAAAGTCAACACTTTCAAGTCCTCACACATTTGTGAACAATATGATATAAGTTCTCATGTCTGATTTAACTTATAAATTATCCATACATGTTTTTAAATATAAAATATTTATATTAAGGCAAGCGTTGTTACACTGATACTGGTTTTGGTATCATTTATTTTGCTGATTTTATGTGGTAGCTTTTAGCTTTAAAAAAATATTGATCTACTTTATAAGCATGTAGAGTTCTTGCCATGGGTCACTATAAAACAAATTTATTTTGTGAAAGTTCTCAGTTCTTTTAGTAAATCTAAGTAAATCTGTACTTTAAACTATGAAGTAATGCATAATTTACCTAGTATCAAAGTTAGCCAAATGTACTATGCAGTGTTTAAGCGTGACTTAAATACAACAGTGTGTATTGAACATTAAATTGTAATAAACATTATCTTTAGTGACCAGGCAGGCTGCCAGGCAGGAAATTACCATTAAAGCAAGTAGGCAACTGGCAGGTAAACAAAATGTAATGCAGGTGTAGTGAAATCACAGTTCAATGGTCACTGTGAACAGTCTGCTGCAGCCATAAAAACATGTAACTTTTTCAATTCCCTATGAAATATAACGTAGAAATAATGTTAATTCTTTGATGGATTAGGGTATTAAATCTTTGAGAGTTTTATAAAATATATAAACACATTAAACAAGCTTGATAATCCTTCTGTCCTTCCTGTTGCACAACAGGAAGAATGAGGCCAATAAGTAGGATGTCTATGATACATGCTATCCAGTTCTGTCAGTTTATTGGTCTGACCATACGAAGCTTGAGGGTGGTAACATATTATCCAGAGTTCCACAGCCCCCTCTAGAACACAAAGGGTGTTTTACACAGCCAATCTGGCTTTCCCCCAGAATAAATCTGTAAATGTACAATATACAGGCAAGACGTCTGTGTTTAATTATGTTTAAAACTTGCCTTTTTCCCAGCGGGCTATACATTCTGAAAAAGTACACTCGATAAATATTGTTCATTATCATCATACGTCCATTTCTTTGCCCACAAAATCTCATTAGAGCGATTATTTTTTTGGCTTAAAATGTCCCTGACCTTTAAGCGTCCAATCAGTGGTGTAAAACTGGTGGGGTTGCATGGCTTCTGCTCCCCTAGAGTCCCCTTTGAAACTCAGACATTAGGAAATAAAAACATTTACCTAGAACTTTGACTCTATCTTTACTGGAAGGTTGTTATGGATATAGATGGAGTTCTGATGTTGCATTTGCCAGTAATGTGCATTAATTCCATCCCTATGGAAGTGAAAGTATAATTGAAGTCAAATCTTTTTTGATAGATCATGGAATAGTTAGAATGCTTTTTTTGCTGTCTATGTCTCACTAGGGAGGTTTTCCTTTTTTCCCTCTCTTAATATCTTAATACACAACAGGATGTGAGAGAAGATCTCATTAAAGGATGGGAAGTACTCTTATTGGAACAAGTGTCCCCATTAGAATATTTCCCCTATAGTTCTTTTCCAATTCCAGCAACTCAACAATTTAAAATTTTCCCTTACTTTCAGTCACAGAGATGCTGGATACCAGGACAGATAGAGAGAGCAATTCTCTCCAGCAGGGGCACAGACAGCAGTATAAATCTGACAGGGGGTTCTAACCCTTCCACACTCTATCCAAAACGAAATAGAATAGCATTAGATACACCATCAAATTCAGGTTCTACACAGCTGACAACCCACATTTATTGCAGTTCATTAAAAAACTCTTTATTGGACTTTGGAAAACAGAAAACCAGACTGCAGCATTCAGCCAGTATTTCCACAAAGTCTCCTGTAACAGTTATAGAATATTCTGTTGGATTATAATGCCATTTGTATTAGCAGTGGCTTCATTTAATACATTCTGGCACGTGATACTCACTATTGGATGAAACTTGGTCTGGAAACCTACTGCTAGAGGATACACTTTTGTTTGTTCCCATTATAGAGACTGCCCATCCCAATCGTGTTTAGATCCCACTAAACGTTAGCTACAACTTAGCCTATGAAGTCATTAGTTAAATTACATTCTCAGCTTCCAGAACATATAACTGAAACTCTTTGCAAATTTTATAGTTAATTGAAGATGCCTCCGATATAGTATGAACAAGTAGGCAATGCCCTAAAAAATAGGATATATTTATCATAATAAAAATATGCAATGTTTAGCTATTTCCTGCACATTTTGTATTTCCCTTTTTATTGCCTGCTTTTTCATACATAAGGGACTATAATAGAATGCTTTCACTGGGTCATATCTGGCAAACCCCATCACCTCCTCCTATGGAAAGGATCCAGGACAGTCTGTGGATTTTGTCATTTTCCGCTGGGAAACTGGAGAAAAATGTTTTCCTGGTACATTACAAATATTAGGCTATTTTCATCTATTCTTAATTCTTCCCATTGCTTTTTAATGACCGATTTCTGATAAACTGGAGAATTCTTATACACCAATCGAATTAATTATCTTTGTGAAGAATCTTCTAGCTGTGACGAATATATTTTGTGTAAACCTATTCATTATTTTATATTTTCCTTCTGTAGTTACACAGAAAAAAACATTAGTCATCTTCTTAATTATCCTGAAAGAGTTTCTAGATACACAAAGGTTATCACCAAAATATATAAGTACATTATATTTGCAGATATTTTGAAAACTCGGGTTATAAAGTTACATTACATATTGCCAGTGTTTCCATACACTGCTTGCAGGGTAAATGTTATTTCTATGGCCACAATGCATTAGCCAATTAGAATAGAAAAGTCTCAATTCCCAAAGCTAATACACCAGGATAAGTGTCCTTATTTTCAAATAAATTACAGTTTTTTTCAGGCCAAGTCCAATTCAATTTGTAAATTACAGTCACATGGCTGAAAACAGACTGTCTTAGGTTGGAGTTAATACTTGAAATAACTTGTGAAATTAGACCAATGAGTTTAATATAGTCCTTTCCTTAAAGCAGAACTAAGGAATATGCTGTCTTAGCCTCTGTTTATATCTACAGCTACCATGGTGCTGAACATGTGATCAGTTATGACACCAACCATTTGAGGGCTTGAAGCTGAACTCTAGGAAGCCTAAAATATTTCCATGCACTTTATGGGTTCATTTCTCATTGCTGTCTAGGGGATTTGGAAATGAATATTTGCTTACCTAATCCTACACTCCTTCAGGTTCATCTGCTCTGCTATGCTGATCCCTGCAGCCTCTTCTCCCCTATGCTATGGCAGACAAAGGTCCATTGGTGTAATCAAGACCAATGCAGGGTCCATAGCCCTGCACTGGATGTGAGAGCACTGAGGGATAGTCCACTACAAAGTATGGGGAAGCAATGTCTATCGGGGAGTAGAGGATCAGGTACGTAAAAGTACCTTTATGGTTCCCTAGGCTAAACAAGCAGATAAAATTTGCAAAATGGGCGCAGCCCCACTTCAGGGAAGCATGTGTAGGTTGGACAG